GCACCAGAATTTTGAGAAGAAGCGCAATAGAGGATAAGAGTAATTATGCAATTTCGGGTATAATTCATCTGCCATTGATCATGATAATTTCAGATTTTAGTTCATGAATTCGAAATAAAACCTACCAAACAAGGGAGGAAAAAACCACCTATAAAAAGAAGAAAATGAAAAAAATCGCTAAGTTCTCTGGCAACTCCAATTTGTAGGCTAACTCTCCCACGTCGTACTCTCTTTATGATCGGATTGCAGTTTAAGGTTGTAGGTTTTTTCTCTCGAGATTTCTCTCCCCTTAAGTTCGTCACTATCTTTCTTGGCAATTCATCCATCCTTAATCTACTCTTTTAATTTTTTGTTTTAAAATAGTATTTTATAGATTGTCCTCTTAAATTTTTTTAGAACATGTTTAAAAATTTATATTTTAATTAATATTTTTAAAAATCAACTATTATAAAATTAAAAATTCTATTTATATAGATTTGCATACTAATTTTTAAATTATTTTAATAAACTTAATTACTTTGTTGATTATAAGAAATTTAACTCCATTAAATGTATATCAATAAATAAAGTTTTTTTAACTAAATGTTATAAGTGTTAGAATAATATGAAAATTAACATACATAATTTATGTAAATAGAACTATCAATTCAATTTTTAAAAATATTGATTGGAAAGTATATTTTTAAACTAATCCTCCAAAAAAAAAAAAAAGACTTACCTTACACTATCCTCTTTAATTTATGTTTTTCTTTCTGCTTTTGTTCGACCTATCCTCATCTCACATCCATCTTTTCTATCTCTCGTGTCTTTGTTAATTCCTTTTACTTTTCTATCCAAAAAAAAAAAAAAAAACAAAGGAAAAGGAAAAGAAAAATCCAAGCCTAGTGGTGTCGACGAGTACTCTTGGACCAGGGTTGGCAAAAAAAGATCTTGGTGGTGGTGAGCCTTGTTGTATTGACGACAGAAAAAAAAATAAAAAATGAAGGGATCTTTGTGTTATCGGCTGATTTCAGATTGGTTGTGCTTCAGTGACTGGTTTGCTGGGGCAACAAAATTTGTTTCCATGGTTTTGTACCAATAGATAAGCTTGCCACTAGCTAGGGGACTGGAGTGCAGGCTGGTTTCGATTGGTCCAAGACAGTAGCTTTGTGATTGTGACAGTGGGATGAGTTTCTTGAGGTTAAATGGAGTATGCAGGAATAGCCCTCAATTATAACAGATAGGGGCCATTACTTGTTCTAGGGACCATTGCTGCTTGCTACCCCTAGAGCTCACATAACATGTGAGACTTATGCTTAATTGTTTGTCATTATATTTGGTATCCTTGTTATTGCCCCTATAGGAATTGGTCGTGTAAATCACTAATATAAGGTGGATTCTTTTTCATCTCATTAACTGATCTGTTTATGAGCATTTGTCACCTCGTATTTAGATGCTATATGTATACCTCTTGTTGCCATCAATGGGTCCCTATTTAGGGATTATAATTCATTGTAATCTCTATATTTTCTATCCATCCATGAAATCACATGATTTACGAAAAATAAGTATATAATTTACTCTATAATACGATAAGTTTTGACATTAGGGTTTGTCAGCTAGATTTTTTTAAATTTTAGAAGAAAAATTTTCTTAAAAATTATTTTGTTTTAATAAAGTATTACGATAAAATATTAAAATAATCTTATTTTCGTTTTAAAAATATGTTATTATAGTCTTTTTCAATAAGAAATTATTGAAATTACTTTTGGGTTTATTTTCCTCTTAATTTTTTAAAAATTTAATAGACAAACACTTTTTTCAAAAGTTTTTTTAGTATTTAAATTTATTAATTTATTAATTATGAACTGGGTCCAAAATATTACTCATGATTAAAATGTCCATGTAAGCATAAACCCTATTGCCATGTAGGACTTAATTTTCAAATTCATCAATGTGATTTCCAACTAATTTTAAAATTTAAAATTAAGAAAATTTGGGGAGTTAGTGGTCCAAATTGATGAATTTGTTCAAGTTAAAGGACCAATTTCTTTGAAAACTAAAGTTGAGAGGGACCAAACTAAATGCTGAGAAACCAAATTAGTGATTTACCCTTAGAATAATGATAAACGGGTTAAAATTTAAGATTAAAATACAAAATTAATTACGTAATTTATGATATCTTATTTAAAATATTAAAAAATAAATTTTATATTATTTAATAATTAATTTATATATATATTTTTAAAATCTATAATATTATTTATATTAACAAATTTAATAACATATTATAAATGACAACATTAATTCTAAATTATTCTGCCTTTTCTATCATTACTAAAAAAATAAAAGAGAAAAAAAAAAGAAAGAACAATCTAATTTGAAAAGGGCATACAAAAGGAGCGGCGCGGTGCCACCTTCTGTGTGGACTGTGGAGTGTGGACCATAGCAGAATAGATCTTAGTCAAACATGTCTAAGAGGTTAAACCCCAAATTTAGTCCTTCTATTATTGTATAGACTTCAACTTGGTCTTTAAACTTAAAAAATCTCTAAATTGATCCCTAAAGTTTGGATATTTGGCCTCTTTTTGGTATCTCCATTTAGTTTTGGGTGACATCTTGTTAATTAATAGAAGAAGCGTGACATGTAAAAAAATTGAACAGGTGAAATACATAACGTAGCAAAATGCATGACATATAAAAAATGATTGTATGTATAATTCCCTAGTCAACTCGCCCAAGACATTTGTGGGACCCATCCTTTGTAAGTTTTCATTAACCATTTACTAACTTTTCCTTAACCATTGTTGGGCAATCTGGGCAACTTATTGCCAATGTAGAAACCTAGGACAATCGTGGGCCCCTACACAAACTTTAGACAATTGGGCACATCAAGCCTGAACATTTTCTAGCAAAAATTATGATGAAGAGGAAAACTTTGAGATGAATTATAGACATTCTGATCTAGTACAGATCACCAAAGATCAAATCTCTATGAAATCTAATTATTATTAAGACTTATCAATTTAATAAATTGAAATAAAGCTTGATTGATTTGTGCATTTACAAAAATCGCCATCTATATATATGACCAAAAAAGTCAAACCAAATACTAGGTACCAAGAGTAATAGGAGAACAAAAGAGAATTTGAAAACCTTAGATCCAAATAGAGATATCATCATCTTGGAGGAGAAATGTTGAAAATGGTGAAGAGAAACTTACTCGACGGTGGTTGGTTTGAGATAAGACGATGTTGTGCAAGTGGAATGACTGTGCAGGAAGTTGGTATTGGTGAGGCAACTGCAAGGAGGGGGTGAGTTTTAGGTTTCGAATGGGAAGAAAACTTGTTTTTGTTGTAGTTGCTGGGCTCTTGCTTGAGCTCGTATGACGACAAGAACCCAAATATATGAGTTTTGTCACTGAGGACTAAAGATTGAGAATAGAGAAGAAGATGACATGAGTAAGAAAAAAAGTATGAATTTTTTCTAATTTGAACCATGGGTTTTGCTGAAGGTGAGAAAGATTGACGGAGAGAAAAGAAGAGGAGAGAGGAGGGGAGTTTGATTGGAGGAACATGAGGGATTCAGGGGAAGAAGGTAGCAGTAAATGGGTAATACCATTAGAATTTAACTATAAAAATTAATTAATTATAATAGTAATTTTGTAATTAAATGAGTTTTAAAGCTATTGTGGACAATTTCTTGATGAAAGATAGAGAGATGAGAGGGAAAGGGGGAGTTAGAGAGAGGTTTGAATGATTCGGAGCTTGGGGAAGAAGGACAGCATGGAACAGGGAAAGATTCAGTCACAGGAGAGGGATCCGACAAGAGAAAGAACACGAGGCGGGTCCACCTCACAGGAACAGAGGGAGGAATCAAGACATATGGGGCTACGATCGACGTATATACAACCAAGCCACTGTGTTCTCCTTCACCAACTTTCCTAACGAATGGAGCTATTAAAACATGTGGCAAACATTTCGAAAGTTTGGAAGAGTATTGGCCATCTATAGCCCATCGAGGAAAATAAAGAGAGGGAGTAGGTTCGGATTCGTCAGATTCCTTGAGGTCAAAGATGAATGGGACCTGGAGAACCAATTGGACCAGATTCGAATAGGAGAATTCAAACTTTGGGTCAATAGACCAAAGTTTAAGGAAAGGGAAAGCCACAGGAGTACGGATCATGGGCTCAGCAAAAAAGTAGTAAGAGGGCAAAGGACCTACGCCGATGTTGTGAAAGGAAGCAGAGAAGATGGTTCAAATCGGGGGAATCAACAAGAAGCAATCAGAGATTCAATTTGCTGGCAACAACAGAGAGACTACAGGAAAAAAACCCCAACACAAGTTTGGATTCCGAAGATCAAGGAACAGGTGAAGCATAGCTTGGAGTTCAATGTGAAGGAGGAGGAATTTTCATGGTTGGAAGGATGCTACGTGGGGGTAGCTCACTCAGTTGAAATCATCCCGAACTTACAGGAAAAGTTCTTTATGGAAGGCTATTTCTCCTGTAAAGTAAGAGCATTGGGAGGAAGCTTAGTGTTATTGGAGGGAGGAGACAAGGACGAGATTAAGGATCTGGTCGAACTTGCACCACAATGGCTAGGATAGTGGTTTTCGGAGGTTAAACCTTGGAAAACATCAATGGTTTCCAGGGAAAGATTTGTCTGGTTACGATGCCAAGGGGTCCTAGCCCATGCGTGGAGACCATAATTCTTCGCCTCAATTGGCGCAGTATGGGGAAAATTCATCACCCTAGATGACAGCACCAGTATGAAGAATAGAATGGATATTGGAAGACTACTGATATCCACTACAGCGATGGATTTCATTTCGAAGGTCATGAATGTTAAGGTTAATGGGGAGCCGTTCATTATTAAAGTCATGGAAGAAGAAGCCACCGACGACATTTTTTCAATGAAGTCTGACCATGTGTTTAAAATGATGAGCGACTCCGACAACGATGCTTCTGAATCATGGTCACTGGATAGCGAATTTGGCAATGAGATTCTTGAGTCCGTCCAAGAAGGTGGTGGGTCTAAGGGATACCGGAACTTGCTGGATGGAAAGATGGAAGAAGATGACGTGGAAGAGGATGACATAGAGATGGACACGGAAACAAGGGGTGAGCTGGCACATACCCGTTGGAAGATTGAGCGGCAAATTGGAAAAGAAGACCAAAATTCGGCTGTGCATGACGTCTCAATTAATGCTGAAGGTTTCTAAGAAGATTGTGCAGATAGCGGGGAAAAGAAAAATCAAATTCAAAGCCCCGGAAATCACGAAATGATGCTAGCAGATTGGGAAATTGTGCTTGAATCACAACCAAATGGAAAAATGGAACAACATCAGAGGGATGAGGATGTTGGGCCATATAAGCATTCAAACCCAATAGCTCTTGATAGATGTGGGACCAAAAGAGACACATGGGTAGCCCAGCATGAGGATAATGGGCCAGTAGATGATGGGCCAACTTCACGGGATGAGTGTCACTTACTAGAGGATAAAGGGGTTAACCCAAAAAATAATAAAGATGTGGATGAAGTAGTCTCATTCCAGAAGGATCTCGAGAAGGAGAATAGTAGCAATAGCTCGAGACAGTCCCAGACGGCGCAGAAGGAGTCTTGCTTCTAGGAAGGCTTTATGATAAAATCAGGCCCTAAAAAGGAGTGGATGGGACGAAAACTCAAGAGGCCGAGCAAGTTAAGGAAGAAGAAAAGTAGATCTTGCGCATTCGTGTACAAGAAAGGAGGAAAAGAAGATCGACGAATCAACCCAGAAAGAGGATCAAAAAGATCTAAAGAGCGAGAAGTTAAGGAGGGGATGCCGAAATTCCATCCAGGAATCCAAAACCAAGTGGCAGGTGAATCTGTCAATGATAGCGGAATTGGAAACATAAATGAGATCCTAAAGAGAGCACAGGAATCTTATAATGTGGAGAGGATCTAGGCATTTGCAAAGGAAATTGGAGCTAGTGACTGCGGCAATGAACATGAAGTGATCTGAAGGCTTAAGGACATGGAGGATAAGGACAAGGAGATATTCAGGAAATCAAAGGTTAGTGCTGACGTTGTTGTGGGGACCGATGGTATTAATTTAAAATGATTTTCTTGTCTATAAATACCAGAGGATTAAGAGGGTAGGGGAAGAAATATGGAGTAAAAGAACTAGTTAACAAAGAGAAGGTTGAATTTCTGTCTATAAAAGAATCAAAGACAAAGGTGGTGGATTATTAGTTATGTAGGACTCTGTGGGGCATAGATAACTTTGATTGGGTAGCAAAGCCTTCAAGAGGGACATCTGGTGGTTTAATCTGCATATGGAATAAAGAAATATTGAAGAAAGAAAAAATAATTTAAGGGTAGAGTTTTGTGGGGGTGTTCGGCTTTTGGGGGGTTTCAGCAATTCCAGTATATATTATGAACATCTACTCCCCATGCGAAATGCCGGGTAAAAGGGCTCTGTGGATTAGCTTGAAAAATGTGATCTTGGGGACGAGTGGTAATTGGTGCTTGATGGGGGATTTTAATGCTGTAAGAAATGAGCAGGAATGGAATGGAGGAAGAACTAGAAGGAGGGAGATGGTGGAGTTTGACAATTTTATCAGAGAATGTGGCCTTATTGATTTACCACTAATAAGCCGCAAATTCACATGGTACGAACCAAATGGAATACTTATGATTAGATTGGACAAGTTCCTGCTTTATGATCAATGGTGTATTAATTGGGGGGATGTCAAACAATGGGGAATGAAGCGAACAATAGCGGATCACTGCCCAATTATGCTAAAAAATCAAATAATCGATTGGGGCCCTAAACCTCTTCGATTTTTTGATGTGTGGATTGATATTCCTGAGTTCAAGGAGTTAGTGACTAGAACATGGAGGTTGACAGAGATCACAGGGTGGCACGGATACCGACTTAAAGAAAAACTAAAGGAAACAAAGAATGCTTTGAAGGTATGGAGCAAGAACATGTTGCCGGAGGTTGATTCCAACATTCAAAAATACAAGGATTCTATTGCGGCTATGGATTTGAAGGCAGAAATAACCTCACTATCGGCTGAGGAAGTGGATATAAGAAGAAATAGCTTCTTACAACTGTGGAGATGCCAGAAAATGAAGGAGAGCATGTGGCGGCAAAAAGCTAGGAAGACATGGATGAAAGATGGGGATGCGAACACCAAATTTTTTCATAGATGTGTTAAGGGAAGAAGGAGAAGGAATGAGATAGTTAGTATACAAGTGGGAGACAAAGTCATGGATCATGTTAATGAGATCATGGAAGAGGTGGCCAGTTATTTCGAGAAGGTATTCACAGAAGACAGTTGGCAGCTCCCCCACCTTGATGGGATCGCATTTAAGAAGATCTCAGAGGATGAGAACTCAATATTGTTAGCTCGGTTCAGTGAAGAAGAAGTAAAGCAAGCGGTATGGAGTTGCGACTGCTCAAAAGCACCAGGACCAAATGGTTTTAACTTCAGATTCATAAGAGAGATGTGGGAGGAAATCAAAGATGACATGATGGGCTATGTGGAAGACTTTCATAAGCATGGAAAACTGGTCAGAGGGGTAAATAGTTTATTCATCGTGTTGATCCCCAAAGTGATAAATCCCCAAAAAATAGAGGAATTTTGCCCCATATCCTTTATTGGGGTTATGTACAAGGTGATAGCAAAGCTCCTTGCTACTAGACTCTGTTTAGTGGTGGACAAAATAATTGGAGAAAACCAGATGGCGTTTGTTGGAGGAAGACAAATGGCGGATATCATTGTTATTGCCAATGAAATAATTGATGAAGCGAAGAGGAAGAAGAAAGCTAGTTTTTCATTTAAATTAGACTTCGAGAAGGCATACGACAATGTATGTTGGGAGTTTTTGCAGTACATGATTGCAAGAATGGGTTTTAAATCGAAGTGGAGAAGATGGATAGACGAGTGTTTGAGGACAGTAGAGGTATCTGTTTTGATCAATGGCAGCAACACTAGACAAATTAAAATCAACAGAGGCCTTAGACAAGGGGACCCACTATCTCTTTATCTATTTTTGTTAGTAGCTGAAGGTCTTAATGGAATCATCTCCTCAGCAGTTAACTGGGGTCTTTTTGAGGGGATCAGTGTTGGTAGCAATGAATTGAAATGGTCACATCTTCAGTTTGCAGACGATATGATCCTATTTGGCAGAGCAGAGGAAGAGAACATATGGGCAGCAAAGAGTATTATGAGAATCTTCGAGTTGGTGTCGTGATTGAAGATTAACTTCGGTAAAAGCCAACTCATGGGCATAAATGTTTCAGATGAATGGAAGACAAAAATGGCCCACATTTTGAATTGTAAGCAATGAGCTCTCCCCTGTAAGTACCTTGGAGTACCAATAGGAGGCAACTGTAGAAACATTAAAGTTTGGAAACCTCTGATCGAGACTTTTAAGAAGAAATTGGGCTCATGGAAGGGCAGGTTCCTATCCCTTGGTGGAAGGATCCCACTTCTCAACTCCGTGCTGTCCAACATTCTAGTCTTTCTCATGTTAGTGCACCTGCTCCCTAAAGGCGTGATCCTCTCCCTTGACAAAATTCGCAGGAACTTCCTATGGGGGGGTGAGGAGGGGAAGAGCAAAACCAGTTGGGTTTGTTGGGACAAAGTATGTAAAAGTAAAATGGAGGGTGGGCTTGGAGTTAAAGAGCTGAGAAGTTTCAATATTGCCTTGTTGGGCAAGTGGTGGAGCAGGTTTGCTAGTGGGAACGAAGGTCTTTTATATAGAATCATTAAAGGAAAATATGGGAGTGTGGACGGCCATTGGCTAGAGTGGGTACAAGAGAATAGTCACAAGGGATCCAGTTGGTGGAGAAACATTTGCAAATTA